CACAGAATGAAAAGCTCAAGGTGAGACATCTGTAGCCGTGTGAGGGTGAAGGTGCTCTGTGGGATGTGCTGCCCTCAGCTCTGCAGTGGTGTGCCTGCAGAAAACCTCATTAGCAGTGTCTGTTCTGAGCCTGCTCTTTAGCTGTGTTACACTTGGCTCCAGGTACAGGCCATGGAAGCTGTGGCTCCGCTTGCAGCTCGGTGCGTTGGTGACAGCGTGTGGCCACCGTTGGAAATTGTGATGGTTTCCTGCCCACGTCCCATTCTGATCTTTGAGTCCATTTTAACCATGTCTGGTTAAAACGGTTTTCACCTCTTTACAAGTAGTGATCCCTCCTCCACCTTTCCCACGTCGTCTGTAAGTGGAACCAGAGAACAGAAACAATCAGGGAACTTGTGAGGGGAGAGATGCTCTTGGAAAGATTCAATGAATTTCTGTCTTCCCCACTGTGGGGGATGGTGAGATAGGAAACAGCCTGTGAGTTTGTGATGTTTTAAAGGCAGTAACACAAGAAGCTGTGGCTCTGTGGCAGATAAGTATATAATGGAAAGAATAATGCAAATTTCATCTTAGTGGTCAGTGCCAGTTATAAGAAATGTCTGTCTTGATAACCTAAATCCAGAGATCTGATGCAGGAACTGTCTTGAGGCACCTCTGAATTCTATTTACCCACATGAATTTGTTTTGAGAGGAGTGGTTTTTAGGTTACAGCTTTTTTTTTTTTCCCTCCCTAATTAGTTTTAAGCTGAATGCATGTATATATGTGTCTGTTTCTCTGCTGCTAGTCACAATCATTTGCTAATTTTTTTTTCTAGGAGTTCAGTTCTCTGGGTTTTTTTTAATTTCTCTTTCTGTCAGTCATTATGTTTTACTGGCAGAAGGCTAACATAATGCCTACTTATGTGCATTTTATCTGTTCTCTCATACTTTTCTGTGTGTTCATCTTTATTGATCTGGGTGATGATGATTTATTATATTTTCCAAGTTCATATCTTTGAGGGAAACTATTTCAGGACCCAAGAGTCAAAAACTTCTGTCATGTGGTTGTGCAAGAGAAGCAGCCTAATGCAAGCAGAGAGCATGGAGACTTTTTAAATTTGGTGCTGAATCATATCACTTGGACCTACTTCACAACAATGCTATTCAAGTTCTAGCTTTATGTTTTCTTGTGACAGCTTGATCCGTTGTTCTCCTGTCTTGAAAGACAGAAACCAAAGGCAAAAGGTGATAATTTTTCTTTTTGTGGCATTTTCTTTTGTCCCATCCAGGTTGAGCTTCGACGAGCAGTGGAAGAGGCTGTGAAGGAGACGCCGGAATATCGCTGCATGCAGTCCCAGTTTTCCGTTTTGTATAACGAGAGTCTCCAGCTGAAGGCACACCTTGATGAGGCCCGCACGCTGCTGCACGGCACCCGCACCACGCACCAGCGCCAAGTGGAACTGATTGAGGTAATGCCTCTGCTCCCTCAGCCTGGGAGCTCTGTCATGCCACCACCATCACTGCTGGGTCTGTGTGCCTCTGCAAATGCTCAGGAAATGGACGTCCGTGGCAATAATCAGGCTCTTGTGGAACCTGATAGTGATATGGTGAGATATACTCCATGTTCAAAGCACCAAGTTCTGTTTCCTTTTGTTCCTCAGAGGGATGAGGTCAGCCTTCACAAGAAGCTACGCACGGAGGTGATTCAGCTGGAGGACACCCTGGCACAAGTCCGCAAAGAATATGAGATGTTGAGGATAGAGTTTGAACAGACGCTTGCTGCCAATGAGCAAGCAGGTATGGTGTTGTTCTGCTGTGCCTGAAAACAACCACCTAATGACCAATGCTCATTAGGGGCTACAGTGCACAAGAACACTGTATGTATCAACAAGATTGATTCCTTGTTACTGTTAAATACTTGTTCTGGCAGGTCTCTTCACCTCAAAACAAAACTCTTCACCTGTTTTACTGGGAGGCCAGCTCCACTTCTTTCTAGATGCCATATAATAAATACATCTTGCTCACAATTTGCTTTATAGCAGGATATTTTGCTTTATTAAAAATTTCTTGTGGTGGGAGGATTCATTTCCAAGTCTGTAAGGACAATCTAGATAGCAAAGCAGTAATTCTTAAATTTCATCAGAGGAAATAAATTACTTCTGAAGTAGCATTTAAATCAGATTTCCTTTGTAACATGACATGTTTCCCTTAGGATCATGGGCATAAAAAGAATGTTAAGTGGGAACTTAGGACTGTGAATTTGCAAGGACTTATGGTTGTGTATAAAACTGGCATGACTTTTTTTTCTGCAAGTGTTTTGTATTGCTCTGTTATGTGGCAGAATGGTGATAGTCTTATTTTGTTTGTCATTGTCACTTATCTTGTTCTCCATCTCCACGAAAGTCCTCAAGAAGGTTAACAGAAGTGTGGTTTGTAACTGAGGTGTTTCTGTTTTTGCAGGCCCCATTAATCGGGAGATGCGTCACCTCATCAGCAGCCTCCAGAATCACAACCACCAGCTGAAGGGAGAGGTGCTGAGATACAAGCGCAAACTGAGAGAGGCCCAGTCTGACCTCAGCAAGGTAACACAGCAGGAAATGCCAAAAAGAAGGGAAAGTGCTTAGGAGAGGGGGAAGTGCTGTCACCCATGCCAGGAGTATCAGCCTTTCTGATATGCTGTGCAGGATGCAGTGAAATTTTCTGTGGAGCTCCACACTCTGCTGTTTCCTTTGACTAAATTGATACTCTTTCTTCATGTCTGTGTAGTGCTCCATGAAAAGGGGACATGGAAGTATGGATCTGGGAAGACAAGGGAGAAGGGAGTAAGGAAGGCTCCTGGCTAAGAACTTAAATGTTTGTTTTCTTGGTCATCTCTCTTGCTGTTCCACACCAGATCCGCTCTCGCAGTGGCAGTTGTCTCCTCCAGTCCCAGTCCAGCACTGAAGACACAAAGGAGGAACCCGCAGAGATCAAGCAGGAGCCTGATGATCCTTCTGCCCAAGTGTCTGTTCCCAAGGCTGCTTCTGAAGATATTAATGAGATGAAGGCCAGGAGAGATGAAGAAGAACGGGAGCGGGAGAGACGGGAAAGGGAGAGGGAAAGAGAGAAGGAAAAGGAGAAGGAGAAAGAGAGGGAGCGAGAAAAAGAGAAAGAGAAGGAAAAGGAACGAGAGCGGGAAAAGCAGAAGCAGAAGGAATCAGAGAAGGAGAGAGAGTCCAAAGAGAAGGAGAAAGGGAAGCATGAAGACGGGCGAAAGAAGGAGGCTGAAGTGATCAAGCAGCTGAAGGCTGAGCTCAAGTAAGAGTTGTTGTTTCTCCCTTTCCTGTGGGAGCAGCGCCCAAGCCTGACGTGTTCAGTGTTCTTGCTTTTATAGGATCAACATCACTGGAGTTTGGAGCCAAAAGAGTTTCTTGACACCCTCTGTATCTGATTGTGATGTGGTCAGTGTAGAAGTGTTTTTCCTACAAAAGCCTAAAGCATGAATTACCAAAGCAGATACTTCATGGTGTGGGTCAAGTAACATTGATTTGTTGCTGTCATAACAATAGCATACAAGTTCACAGCAGCAGGGTATTAATAGAGGACACAGCAGTGTTCCCACTCCTGGACAGTTCCCAAGGCAGAGGTGGATCATTTGTACCATATTGTTAGGGTACCTATTTCATCTCCAGCTCGCTTCTTGCATTTCAACTCGTGTGCCTGAACATACTTCTTTTCCAGCCTATACTCAGCTGCTGTTTTATGTTACCACTATAAAATGATCCACCAACAACTCCATATCTACATGGGAGATGAGATATGAGATATCTCCAGGCTATGGTGCTGGCTGTGTAACATTGTGGCTTTGCTGCTGTGTTCTCACTGTGGTCTGTCTCCATTTCTCCAGGAAGGCCCAGGAGAGCCAAAAGGAGATGAAGCTGTTGCTAGATATGTACCGCTCTGCCCCCAAAGAGCAGAGAGACAAAGTGCAGCTCATGGCAGCTGAGAAGAAGGCAAAAGCTGAGGTATTCCTAATTTCTCTTCCTCTTTTCTTTTTAATGTGTTACTTAAACTTCTTTTCAGATAGTCTGCAGCAGAGCTGTATTGTTTCTCTCCTCAGAACTGAGGATTGTTTGTCTTCTCAGCTTTGTCACTTAGAAATTGGAATGGTCTGAAGGTAAACAGGGACCAGTTGCTAGTGCAGGCACACACACACAACAATCTCTATGTTTATAAGCACAGGCCCATTTGCAGATCCCTTAAGTTCCAACATATCCTTCTGTTTGAGACCCCTGTGGTTCCCCTCTTGCCTTCAGAAGCAGGTCTCACCTATAGGCAGCACTTCCTCTGTGCAGCACATGTACATGGGGTAAAGAGTTAGATTACACTGCGATACTTAGGAAAATGTGTAATTAAAAGATACAAGAATATAGGAGAGGATAGGCTGTGATGATCACGGGCAAGGCCAAGCCAGACAGATGTGTACTGACTGCCCATATTTTCCATAGGACTGGTTCCTTCTATGCCCTTCTCTGTCTAACCCAAATTTGTTCATCCTTGGTCTCCATTTCCCTGCACATTGCTTCTGGATTTGAGCAGCTCTTGATTCCCACAGCTGTTCCACTTCAGGAGAGATTCCTGCTTTACAGTGTCATCAGTTATAAAGTCTAAGCTGATCTTCCTGGAGGTTGTTCCTGTAGGTTCCTGGAAGATATTGTGACTGGAGAGGTTTGCTTCCTCTCTTTGTCTCTATGTTTGTTTTGTCAGGTTTCTGTCTCTGTATATTTTGGTTTGGGTTTTCTGCTTCTTGCACACTCGGATAACTTTGATGGAGTAAACATTTTCACACTCTGACATGCTCTCATCAGTGTGACTGACCAAGTTTTGTTCTCATCACTGCCTCCCTTACCATTTGTCTGCCAAGTTTGTATCTCTGTATGTTTTATTTTACCTCCTTCTTTTCCTATTATCTTCTCCTTGTATGGAAGAAGGTCCTTAACCAGATGCCCTTAAAGGAGCAGATGCTCTCTGAGCACATATCTATACACGTACAATTGCAGGAGACTGATGTTCTTACTCTGATAAAAGATGATGTGAAGTTTTCAAGGGTGTGGAAGTCAAGATCTTGGGCTTATAGCCCACCTCAATGGTACATCTGCCTGTAATACTCTGTCAAAACAGCCTGGGGTTTTTTGCCATGCTTTGAAGGCAGTCCTGAGTATTTCAGAGAATTTTGGAGAAAACAGGCTCTTATCAATGCTCAGGGGATATCCTTGTGTTTAGTGTCATTTCTGGTTGGTTTTTGTAGCTTGAAGAACTGAGGCAGAGGGTGAAAGAATTGGAAGACAAGGAAAAAAAGGAGAGTAAGAAGATGGCTGATGAGGATGCCCTCCGCAAGATCCGAGCAGTGGAGGAGCAAATTGAATATTTACAGAAGAAACTTGCCATGGCTAAGCAGGTGAGAAATTCCCGATGAGTTCTCTTTTGGCTGGGCAACTGAAGGAGCTGCCCTCAGGTTACATCCAGGAAGAGAAAAGAAATGTATATCCATATAGGCCAGAGATGGGAGTTTGGTGCTTGTTTACCAAAGGGGAAGAAAACTGAGCAAGCAAAAGAACCACCAATAAAATAACCCCCTCCACCCTCAGCTCCAGGATATCACAGGCAGGCGATGGTGGGAAATGTTAAATAACAATTAAATGTTAAATAAACAATTAAACACGTGGCCTGAGTGAAGTACACGGAGGAGAATTGCCTTTATCAGCCATTAGGGGAAGAGATTACAATTTCTTTTTAAGAGTTATTACCTCCTCAGTTCATCTAATGAATATGTTTGCATGGAAGTGGTAAATACCTTCTGCTAAAAAAGGCTCAATCCAATGAGAGAACAGGACCACCTCAGCAGGGTAGAGGCAAGCCAATTAATTGACATGTACTTTTTTAGAATTCAGATTCTTTTCATTGTAGAACAGAACTGCTCTACCTTGTCAATGCTGAAGTGGCCAAAGTGAATTTAAGGAGCTTGGCAGCCTGTTAGTTGGAAGCTGTACACATGTAGAATTTTTGGCCTGGGGTATCTGACAGCTGTTCAGCTGCTAGGAATTGGATGTTGGGTTCTACCCAGCTCTGGCAACAACTGTGTCAAACCTGATTCTGCCAGACAAGTGACAGGTGACCATCCTTTTTCTGCACCTTCAGATTTAGAGTATCTCTGCTGTGGTGCAGACTTGTAAGGAATACAGTTTTCTGGTTGTTGGGATAATGGTGTTCCCTGACACCAAGAATCTTCCTCCATCTTCACTAGGCTTGGTGTGTCTGAATAAAATGTTCAGGCTCACTATAAGGGGTCCAGGGCACAGTTTGGCCAGAGCCTGTGATTCTTTTGCAGGAGGAAGAGGCCCTGCTGTCAGAAATGGATGTCACAGGCCAAGCCTTTGAAGACATGCAAGAGCAGAACATCCGCCTGATGCAGCAGCTGCGGGAGAAGGATGATGCCAACTTCAAGCTGATGTCAGAACGTATCAAGTCCAACCAGATCCATAAATTGCTGAAAGAGGAAAAGGAGGAGCTGGCAGACCAAGTTTTGACACTGAAAACACAGGTAATAGGGAAAAAATCAAAGAGGACAAGAGCTGGTAGTGAGGTGGAGGTGTGAGTTACCTGTTTGAGGCAGCTGCACACAACTGTTGGTCACTCCCCCACTGAGGGAAAGGGGAAAGAACCAGAAGGGACAAAGTGTGAAAACAGATGAGATGAAGTAAAGGGAAAATAAAGGGAGTTTAACAGCTAAAGCAAAGATGTCCATACAAGCCAAACAAGAAATTAATTAATTGGTTACTTCCTGGGGCAGGTAGGAGTTGAGCCATCTCCAGGAAGGCAGGGCTTCATCATGTCTTACTGTTATTTAATAAAGGCTGCAGCTCTGAACATCCTCCCACTTCCTCCTTTCCACCAGCTGTTATTGCTGAGCACAGCATTGTAGGGTATGGAACACCCCTTGGGCCAGCTGGATCAGCTGTCCTGGCTGTGTGGCATCCCAGCTTCCTGGGCATCCTCAGTCTACCTGCTGGTGGGCAGCATGAGACACAGAAGGTCTTGGTGCTAAGTGCTGCTCAGCAGCAGCGGAAACAGTGCTGTGTTACTGACAAGTCTTTTGCTCCAAAATGCAAAACATAGCAGCAGCATGTGAGCTGCTCTGAAGAGAATTAACTGTCCTCACCAGAATCTGTCCAGGATAGAATGTTCCTCTCACCAGCCTAGGAATGCATCAGACTTCAAAGGAGCCTGTCTTTGTTAGAAACTGAGACTGCTTTATCAGCATTAAAATGTCCTATGGGCTACGGAGAGCAGATGGTGAGGAAAAGTGGTAAGTCCTTTTCCTGTTGGAAGGTTACTTCTGCCTGTATATTCTACCTGTACCTGTATATATTGGTAACAAGCAGGAGGAGTTGGAAACTGTGGTTCAGTCTGAACTACCTCATACATGGGCACAGGCTGGGAGAGGAAATAACTGAGAACACTGAAACAGAGAAAGACTTGTGGATTCTGGTGGATGAGAGGCTGGACCTGACCAGTGCACACTGGGAGCCCAGAAAGCCAACTGCATCCTCGGCTGCATCCAAAGCAGCATGGACAGTAGGGAGGGGATTCTGCCCCTCTGCTCTGCCTTTATGAGACCCCAGCTGCAGTGCTGCATCCAGCTCTGGGGTCCTCAGCACAGGAAAGACACATGGACCTGTTGGAGGGAGTCCAGAGGAGCCTATAAAGGCAACGAGAAAAAATGTGTACCTCTGCTACAAAAACAGGCTGAGGGAGCTGGGCCTGTTCAGCATGGAGAAGAGATGACTCAGGGGAGCCTTCATTGCAGCCTTCCAGTACTTGAAGGGGACTTAGAAAAATGAGGGAGAGGAATTTTTTATATAAGCATACAATGTCAGGACAAGAGGCAATGGTTTTAAACTGAAAGAGGGCAGGATCATATTAGATGTTATGAAGAAATTTTTCACTCAGAAGAATTTCAGACGGTGGTGAGGCACTGCTGGAGGTTGCCCAAAGAAGTTGTGAATGCCCCATCCCTGGAAGTGTTCAAGGCCAGGCTTGGATGGGGCTTTGAGAAACATGCCCTGTGGAAGTTAGCCCAGGGAAGCTGGGACTAGATGATCTTTAAGGTCCCTTCCAATGCAGGCCATTCTATGGCTCTGTATCCTGTTATCCTTAGAACCACTGTGGAACTGTTCACTGCCTTGCAGGAAGTCTTTAAGCCACTGTCCAAAAATTAAGAAATCTTTGTTGCAAATATTTGACTGCTAAGTTTTAAAGTGTTGACCATAGAGATCTGGGTACAGCTCTCTGGATACAGTCACAGCTGTTCAGGGAGAAAAAGGCAAGCTGATGGTGTGCTCCCTGGTGATGGGGATGCAGGGGTAGTTTTAGCCTGCAGCTTGAGTGACAGTTCTGAAGACCCACAGAGCATATATTAATTCTTTCTGTTCCCTCTGTCTCCTTTTCCAAGGTGGATGCCCAGCTGCAGGTTGTACGTAAGCTGGAGGAGAAGGAACACTTACTGCAGAGCAGCATTGGAACAGGAGAGAAGGAGCTGGGTCTGCGAACACAGGCCCTGGAGATGAACAAACGCAAGGTGAGTGATGCCTTTGTTTCCTCTTGGGTTGTGAGGTGGAGCTGCTGCCTTGTGGGAGGCATGGAAGGCTCTGAGCTCTCATTGGCATTAGAGAACCTAGTATTCCCTGGTTCTGGATGAGTATATTAGAAGGCTGAAGAGGCTTGGAGAGAATTATGATTAAAGTCCTGGAGACTGATGTTTTCCTTTGATAAGGAGAAGCAAGTCATATATTTTTCTGTGTATCCTTTGTTGAAGAGAGATAGCAGCCAGATGAACTCTGGTCTAAGCTTTTGTTGCAAAGATGGGAAAAGCAAAAGAAAATGCATCTGGGGAATGTGAACACTTTCTACAAATGCCTAAGATCAGTAAAGTAGGTGTGTTACCAGTAAAATAAGTCTTAAGTTATAGCTGATGCTGCCTTTGTTGTTAAGTTTTAGTACAAATGCAGAAATTACATTAGAACAGGCAGAAAGGAAAGCAGGAATATTCCTGTGAAGAGGAGCCAGGGAGAATTCAGCAGTCACCTGTATTTAATATGACAATCTGTGGTATTAAGGGCATTTGGTTATAAAGTCAGAAGAGAACTGGTGAAGAGAGATTGTTAGAAATAGGTATCTTGCAGTTCTGTCTAGTTCAGCTATGGAACTGCCTCTGAACACTTTAATAGAGAAGACATGGAAGCTGGAAGGCTGAAAATACATTAAGAAGAGAATTTTGGTTTTTGTAAGAGATGCGTGTGGCACATTTGTAAGAGATGTGAGTGTGACAAGGTTTGGCTCTGCCCAAAGGAATCTTGAAGCTAAATGATTAGAACTTGTTGATAATAAGGTAGTAACACGGGACTAGAAACCACTAGAGCTGTTCTTCCGTGTTTGGTCATTATACACTGGTTTTCTTTCTCAGGCCATGGATGCAGCCCAGCTTGCAGATGATCTGAAAGCTCAGCTAGAGCTGGCTCAGAAGAAGTTACATGATTTTCAGGAGGAGATTGTGGAAAACAGAGTAACTAGAGAGAAGGAGATGTTCAACTTCAAAAGGGCTGAGGTATATACCCTATGCACAGTTCTTCAAGATCTGTCTGCTTTAGTGTCTTTCTCCTTATACACTAAGCTTGCAGAGGGTTTCAGCTCAACTGCTCTTGGTATCCAGTTTCACTTTGATTTTGGCTTCATCAGGTCTTGGCTCTTTCAGATTTTGTCCCCTGATAACTGATAATGCTTGTGGCATCAGATGATCGTTTTGTTTCTTGGATTATAGGAGATGAAACTATGGCTGGCATGACTTAGCCAGGAGCACGTTCTCTTTGGTCCCTGAAGAAGCTGACAGAGAACGTACTGCTCCTTCACTTGGTCTCCTGTTTTTATGCAGGAAGATATTTCTAGGTTGCGCAGGAAGTTGGAGACCACAAAGAAGCCTGACATGGTTCCCAACTGTGATGAGATCCTGATGGAGGAAATCAAGGATTACAAGGTGAGTACCTGTGTCCATTGGCTTCCCTTTTTGCTTTAGTCAGAGGGGTGTGTAGGCACACTTTCAGTGACTGGCATTTCTCGTCTGTTCTCTGGCACTGGAGAAAGCGCATTGTCCTTCTGAGGAATGGAGGTACCTTCATGTTGAGACATCTCTGAGTGCAGCAGCTGGGCTGCAGCACCCCTCACAGCTCTGCATGTCTGTGTGTGTCTGTTGCAGGCCCGCCTGACGTGCCCGTGCTGCAACATGCGCAAGAAGGACGCGGTGCTCACCAAGTGCTTCCACGTCTTCTGCTTCGAGTGCGTGAAGACGCGCTACGACACCCGGCAGCGCAAGTGCCCCAAGTGCAACGCGGCCTTTGGGGCCAACGACTTCCACAGGATCTACATCGGCTGAGCCCTCTCAGAGCCCCTGCTGGTGCTGAGCCAGCCTCCCTCTCTCCCTCTCAGCTTCTGCTGCCTCAGCTGCAGCATCTCGTGCAAGGAGCCTTCAGGGTCTCAAGAGAAACCTGGATCTCTGGATCTGCTTCTTTTCTTGGCCCTGTCCCTTTGGTCTTGCCCTCAGTTTTTGTGTGCTCTTTGTGCCTCAGAGGAAATTTCGCAACCCTTGCTTTCACACTGCCAAGGTGGGAACATGCAGCTGAAGTGCTGCCTTGGTGGGATGAAAGCTGAGCTGCAGCAGAAATTAGAGCTTTATTTGAGGGCTCTGCTTTGGCTGATGATTAAGTCTATCAAGAAATGGCACTGCTTCTGAGAGGGAAGAGTTTCCCAGTTAACAGGCTCAATAGAGACCAAGGAAATTAATCTGTAGACTCAGCGGAGCAATTCCTTAGGTACCTCTGTACGTTCCTTAGTCAGGGCAAGAACCCTTGAGGGCTGGTGCACTAGGAAACCCTAGCCCCAAACAAACGCATCTAAATATCCACAAGAGGAGAAAGCAGAGATCTTGGAGACCCTTAGGAAATAGCATTCCACTGACAAGCCCTGGTTGATGTGCTCACCTTCACCTAGGCTGAAGCATCAGTGCTGTCATTGTCCTTCTCGGCAAAGGACTTCTAGTGGTTCATTTGCTGCAGCTTTACCACAAAGATTAACCTTGTTATGTACAAATTCTTATTAAAGCTGTTGTTTGGTTTATTTTTCTGGTTATCCTGCCTCTGGTACTTTCTGTCTCCTGTCCCATCCTTTGTCCAGTTCTTGGAAACATTTCTCACAAGCTTTAAACTTCTACGCTAGAGACGCTTGATCTCTTCCTTCCTCTCCTTTCAAAATATGCTCAGCTAGAACAACTTTTGTCCCTTGGGCTCTATTCCCAGCAGTTTATTCCTGACACAACAGGAGGGCCAGGATGCTGCGTTATTTCTGCAGCCATTTTGTCATGGCTGC